GTTCTCTCCTGTGCTTCGAGGGTTTTCCTGGTTCTCCGGTTTTCCTCCCTCCGCAAAAATCAACTCCTAAATTCCAATTCAATCATGGAATGAGGGCCACAGGTTTGTTAGCCACTGGCTATGTAAGTGCTACCCTCGTGAAACAGCACAGCACAACACAGCACAGCACAGCACAGCACAGCACAGCACAGCACAGCACAGCATAGTGAGAGGTGGTGTAATTAGTGGCACACACCATATTATGCCTCAACAAATGCCTCAGAAAGGGAGTAGTATGGCAATTACTCTATAATTACCTGTAATCACTGTAAACTGCAAACAAAAGTCTGAAAGCTACCTTGACACATGGTTCAGAAAAATCTACAAAAAAAAACAACTTTGAATCAGTTTATATAGATGTTGTATCTACTGTGTTTGTATATTCTCACAAAAACACTTGATACAGCCTTGATCCATCCACCCAGATGTATTAATAGGTACCAGCAAACTGTTGGTGGAGGGGGGAACAAGCAAAATATTGATGGTTTTCAACCATTCCAAAGAGAATTCTAAGTTCCTCCAACATGGCCGCCAAGAAAACCATCAATTGGGGGTAACCTATAGATGTGATGTACAAGCAGCCCATCTCAGTTGGTATTGATATGCATACATAGTTGTATATGCTATATATATGCATTGGTAATAACTGGCATTCCAAATTAGAAATAACACCATGTTTGTGTAAGATGATGCCTTGATCCAAGTCAGCCTTACTCCTCCCCCTCATATCACTTAACCGCCCCCACCCCCCCCCCCCCCCCCCCCCCAAATCCCTCCTCAGGGACTTCCCCTTCCTCTTTCCCCACCTCTCATAACCCTACCCGGAAACACCATCATCACCATCACTTCTGACCTATGATGATATATTTCCTGGGACAAAAGCAAAACTCAGTCCAGATATATCAGAAATAATAGAGAAAAAAGGAAATATATAAGTTCATCAAATAAAGAAAAGCTCAGCTTTTAAAAGAAGCTTATTTTCGTATATATATATTTATCGTAGCGTAAGATAAATGTTTGAATTCGATCGAACATTACTACTAGATAATTTAAAAGGTACTTATGCAGCAATAACATAAAATAAAGACTAATACCTACCGTCTCTCTCGATACAAGGAACAAGAACAGACTCGCACAAACCAAGCCGGTCATTCGTCTTCGACGTCGTTATCTTCAAAGCGCATTTCTTCAATATCTCAGCGACCTTTGAAAAAGAATTCAATCATTTTATGAACGAGATAAAGGTAGGGACACAAACCACTGCGTTATACTTAAGACAAAGTATTTAAATTTTTGTTTTTATAAAAAATTTCCAAACTCACCTCGGCCGCCATTTTGAATTTTGAGACACGCGTACCTATGAGCCAGCAAATGTGATGGTCTGCGGGATTATCAATATTTCCACAGGAAGCCCAAACTCGTACAACCTTTTTTAACCAGTTTTTCTTCTTTTTCTTTTTTCTTTTAATCTTTATGGTCGAAATAAAGCATAAAAGTTATTTTAATGCTGTATTAAATTTAAAGGAGCATTATTTTCTTAATGGCTTATAATTAGAACTTTCTAAATGTTTACTGAGTCCAGAGTTGGGTTCCCTGTGGTCTATTTCGTCCTCGGACATTGAAGAAACAAAATGGCGGAAAAATATCGTTGGATTGAAAAGTTGTCAAAACATCCACTTTTTCAAACAGTTCTCGAGTGCTACCATAAAGACAACTCCACTACGGAAGCAAGGAATGTCTTAGCTGAGAGAGAAGGGGAGTTATTTGTGTGGGTGCCGGAAAAATCTCGTATTTTCACGACCAATCTGAAAAACGTGTTGTTTGAAAATGAGCGAGCTGATAAATATCAAGTGAGTTTGATCAGTCTACTCTTCTTGGTTTTTTTTCTTACTTTCTATAACGAGGAATATATTTTTGCGCAGCTATTGTATTTCTTGAATAATAAGAAAAGATACGAACATTTGGATTTTGATTGTAATCAATGTACAAATATTATACGCAATGTCACTGTCCCATTGATYGTTTATAATTCGTTTCCTTCGATCGATTCCAGGAATTTCTCTTCACCAAGCATCCATTATTCAAAGTCCATACACTAAGGTTCAGTCTAACTGGCAGGTATCTTGCTCTGGTTGGTCACAAGGGGATTAGTGTTATTGAGATGCCACAACGCTGGGGCAGGTTTGCCGAGTATCAAGGCGGAGCAGACATTGTCAACTGTAGGTAAGAAAAGCTGCTATAAATTGCATGTGATCATTTCCCACTTGCGATTCAGATTGACCACCAATTTATTTGCTAAGAAGACAAATCATGGACAAAGTGGTTTTATTTCATAAATAGAGCTAGAACAATGCTTGAGTGCATAAATCAACTATGCCAGCAAGTTTAGTAAGTGGTTTACTACAGCTATTCAAAAAAGGTTAGAGATGGTGTTATTGCATCTTGCATGATGCATATCACTTGTTGCATATTGCATACTACATGTAAACTTGAAATGTATTATATTCATGTGTAAATAATGTCAGCACAGAAGAAGTTGTTCCAGAAAAATGTGGAGACAACATTTGGGAAAATTCCAATATGGATGTGACCTTTTGCTGATGGAATCACCCGCATAGTGAAATTTGGGCTTGGTATGCAACTTCGTCATGCAACAAACCCTTCACGAACCTTTTTTTATGAGCTGAATATATATCCAATCAGAAATTGTCCAGTCAAGAATGTGTTTTATTTTTCCAGGACTATAACAGTCGATGAGAGGTTTTTCACTGTTCATGCCAAGACTGTTGCCCTTGAGGCAAGATGGCACCCATCCAGTCACACGGACAGTCACCTAGTTGTACTCACTTCTGATAACATGCTGAGGTTTGTAATACTAATAATAAATAATAGTTAAATAAATGACTTAGATCAGCCCTGGGGTTGTTTTTCAGGAGGTAACAAACTAAAAATATCTGAGCTTACTTTTACTACAACAAACCTTGATCTTACTCATAAATTAATACGTATTAATTTTAGGATATACAACATCCTTCAACCTGAAGTTCCAGAACAAGTCATCAACCTTAGTGACCCATTCTCATCTGAAGTTAACCAGAGCAGAAGCACAATGACATCAGCATCAGCATTTGCAATAGCCCTGGGAGAGACGTCTGTATCATTTGACTTTGCTCCTCCAATAAGGAAATGTAAACCTCGATTCAAGAATGAAAGTAGCTCTGCAGTTGAAGCAGAGCCAGTTTATCCCCTGTTTATACTGAGAGAGAATGCAGATGTGTACTATTTGGTGTTTGAGCTGGGTAACAAGGGGTAAGATTTCCTATTCTCAGTACTGGAACATGACGTTGAAATTAACATTATCCCACAATTTCGTGCCATGTATGATTACTGTTACTTCTTCCTTAGTACAAATTCATTCCAACCACATCAAGACCCACCCACCCAACCCCAAGCAATGCAGATGCAATGTAATACACATTGAATATAATGCTGTCCATGAGAATCCCTATTTTCATTTTATATTCATGTGTATCGCAGGTACTGAGAATATGTTACTTTAAAATACACAGGTGATTATTGAAAATCTTGCGCGCTGATTGGTCGAGAAACTCACACTATCACATGACAATCACCTACAGCGATAATCCAAAATGGAGGCCAGCCGCTTTGATGTTATTGCTGGAAAAAAAATGTCTTTTACCTCATTTTCTTTCTTTTTCTTTTTTTTTTTTTTTAAAGAATCACCTGTGTATTTATACTAAAACAATTATTTGCCTCAGCCTTAGTGAATAACGGGGAATATTTACCTCACTGCTCGAAGTCTAGAGTCTTGGTAAATATTCCCTATATTCACTAAGGCTGAGGTGAATAATTGATAAATAATAATTTTAGGTTTGGATTAGAATCAGTTGGTCCGCTCACCATGCACCCTGCCACAGACAACAACTATGGTCTAGATGCTTGTTCAATAATCTGTCTGCAGTCCCAACCCCCTGTGGTTGTCATGGCAACTGCTAATGGCAGGATATATCATTGTATTGTTCTTGAGAGTAACGATGAAAGTGATTCAGCTCAAGGAGACAAGGTAACTGAATAAATAAAATATTTTTTCTGACTACAGGTAGTACTAGCTTTGGAAAAAAAGGCTGGAGTGCATTGCTAATGCTCCGCCTCTCACCAATGCGACCTGGGTTCGAGTCCTGAACTCGGTATACATGGTGTGTGAATTAATATTAGGAATCAGATTATATACTTTACTCTTTACATTTGGTGTAAAGTTTTGCCATTTCAGACCATGTGTCATTCCTTTGAGTATTATTTCTTGATTATATACTTTACTCTTTACATTTGGTGTAAAGTTTTGCCATTTCAGACCATGTGTCATTTTCTTGTGAATAAGATTCTTTGTTTGAGTTGTATTGGTCCATATTCATGTGTCTTCTCATGTGCAACCATTAAGCAAAGATATGATACTCTAGAGAATGACACATTTTCTTGTGAATAAGATTCTTTGTTTGAGTTGTATTGCTCCACATTCATGTGTCTTCTCATGTGCAACCATTAAACAAAGATATGATACTCTAGGGAATGACGTGTAATCTGAAATGGTACATTTAAAAATGATGTATCAACATTGGCGTATGTTATATCTAATATTGTATACTTTTCAGAATGAATCCTGGAGTGATCAGCAGTTGACAGTATCAGATCTTACCTTGTATGTTCATGAGTGTGTGGAGTTACAGAGATCTATTGCAGGCAGGGATGTTGACGAGTCATCTCAAGCCAGTCATGATTCTGTGGAATCTCTCAATTCATGTCCTGTTCAGCTCTATCGAGGTTTGTATTAATAAAACTGTGTGGACACACTAACAATGATCGCTTGAACAAATACTTAAGATAAAAAAGACTTTAGCCAATCAGGAGACAGCAAAATCAGTATCATATTTACCTCAGCCAATCACAGTCACTCATTCCCACTGTTGATGTTATACACCCTTCTCATAATGGCTGACAAGCACACAAAAACGAGGTCACCCACTCATCTTGCAAGGCTGAGCAAGGCTGTTCATTCAGAATAAAGGTTGAAAGCGCGAATACAGGTCAAAACAAGAGTTAAATTTCTATACTTTTCTCTTATAAACTCATTTAATGTACTTTTATATCTTGTATTGTGAACTAATGACTGGGTGACCTCGTTTTTGTGCCCTTTTCAGCCATTATGAGAACGATGTATGACATCTAAGTTTTTCTCAGATATCTCAGCTTTGTTCCCTGGTTGGTTAAAGTTTGAATTAAGTTTGTGTCCTTTTTTTTCACTCTGTTGTGATTGGTTAACTTTCTTCAAGTGGTCCCAGTCAGCGTGTCTGCACAGAAAAGTACACTGCAGCAATTTCTCTAGACATCTGGGTTCTTGACTTCTATCAACCATGAATTAACTTCAATTTTATTGAACCTTGGAGCAACCTCTGGGCTGATCTATTTGAAGGATTTTCTTTAATTTGTGTTGTTTTGATCAGATTCTGCCTCATCAAATCAATACCATTGCTGCCATCCATCGGGAGTACACAGTATAGTGTTACCCTGGGTTAGAAAATTGGAATCTTTCTGTATCGAAGGTAAATATTGTGGCAAATCGTATGTTATGAAACTTATATTAGACTGCGAGGTGGGGCATTCTCTTTATGAGAGCACACTTAACACAGGCATACTTTTTGAACATTTGTATCAAAATAATGGCTATTCTAATTTGTATTTTATAAATCAGTGGTTGGTATAAAAAATTTGCAGGCCATGTTCCTAAAACTTCTCTCTAATCCCACATGCTTCAAAACAGTAAACAAAAAATTAATGGAATCGTACTGTGTCATATATTAATGCATGATTGTTATGTTAGATGGTGTTGAAGGAGCTACAATGTTTGACACAGATGAAGAAGCAATAGTTTATCACATGGTTTGCACAACACCCTCCACTGAAAGGTTGGTACCTAATAATACCTACCCAGCTAATGATCTAACTCCCCCTCTCCCCACTCCTTTTCTTCTTTCTTCCCCCCCCCCCCCCTCCTCCTTTCATCCTTTCATCCTCTCTCCCTTCCTTCCTCCCTCCCTTCCTTCTTCCCTTCATCCTTTACTTCATCTTTCCTTTGTTCCCTTCCCTCCTTCCCTCCTTTCCCTCCTCACTCCTTTCCTCTTTCCCTCCCTCTTTCCCTTCCTTCCTCCCTCCCTTTCTTCTTCCCTTCATCCTTAACTTCATCTTTCCTTTGTTCCCTTCTTCCTTCCCTCCTTACTTCCCTCCCTCCCTCCTTCACTCTCTCCCTCTCTCCCTTCCTTCCTCCCTCACTTCCTCCTTCCTTCATTCTCTGATTCTGATTTTGACATTATTCTGTGTTGGTTTGCAGTGCTCCATCACCCGTACATGGACTGTGTGTAATCAACAACCTTATTCTAGGATCATCTCTTGTTTGTCTGACAGACAGGATGGAGTGTATAGCAAGACCTCTAGAGTAAGACAAGCTAAGATGAAGATAATTGCTAGATGTTTTGAAGCACTTTTGCTTCCTTGAGTTATAAGAATGGTGTAGAGGTGAAACGTTCACTAACACATTCATAATATTATTTATTATTCTGATATCTATAGCTTACTTCAAAGACCATTAGCTCCGCCATCAAACACAGAGGAGGAGGAGGAGGATGAAAAGAATTATAAAGGGTATTTCTGACAGAGGATATATATAAGTTTAGAGTACCATGTATCATAGAGAACTGATATAAAAATGGACTGTCCCAGTGTTAATATAAAAACAGAAATGATCCATCTCTTAAACAGAACAAAAGACTAAACCATACAAAGTTTCAACCCTGAACCCTTTTGTCAGAGAGAGTAAAAAGAGAATGATCATAGTGACAGGAATGTTTATTTTTCTAGAATCAAGTCTCCAATGCGTCATCTATTATCAGGATCATTTGTTGAACACATCAGAAAGATTCTAACGCGAAACACTTCAACACCACTGATCAGGTACTAATAGTGATTACTAAATGTATACTAACCTTGATATAACTCCAAAGCAACATTTTTGGCARTTTTTACATTAACTTGTTGCATATAGAGAGGGTTTTAAATGAAATATGATTTTTTTATTTGTTGAAGGGCACAATCCACCAGTGATCTTTCCCAAGAAGACCGTCTTAAGATTTTTACAGAAGCACAGCAGATCTTGAGGGAGGAATATTTACAAAGACAGAACCGTGCTAAAGTAGAAATAGAAAAAAGGTACTACTACCTCACTCATTCACTCTTGCCAATAAAACATTTCAATCTATATCAGCAGAGTTAATAGACTATTAACTCTAATATCAGTAATGGGCCTTAATCGCACAGTGCTTCTATATATGGAAATGAAAAATCTTTGTTTACTTTTTATTTAAGTTTTTTTTTAAAACTTTGTTTAACCAAGCATGACTTATTTAAAAGAGCTTGAATGCCAAACTATGTGGGGGAAATTAATTTTCTACGTGATAAAGGGCCATTGTGTAGCTTTATATCCATTTGGTACATGTCAACCAACAAGGTTAGTGTTGATTGAGATGTGTCAGTTGGAAACTGTCAGCTGATTCAAAAGTACAAATCCATTCTTATTTCCTTTTTATTTTGGTTTTTGAGTTTAGAACATGTAATATTTTGAAAAAATATTTAATTATCAACTGGTGATGTTTTTCTTTTGATAGTATTTAATCCACATGCCATACCTTTTTCTAGCTTTCAATTCATTTTTTGCTATCATTGATTTGAATTTTTCTTATTCAGAGTTTCCATTTTGAGAGATCAAAAAAAGAAACAAGAGCAGGATCTTGATAACCTTCGAAGAAATCGAGATGCCGTTAGGAATAAAGCAGAAGAGTTAGCCGACAAGATAGAAGATGTGATATCACAGGATATTGAGTTGTCGGACAAGTAAGACAGGAGTCAAAAATAAAATTATTTCTACCTTCATGCATTCTTTTCTTCTTCCTTACTCTTTCTTGCTTCTTCCCCTTCTGTCTTCACGCCTCTATTCCCTCCTTTGCTTCCTACCTCCCTTCCTTCTTCCCTTCCCCTATTCCTTCCTTCCTCCCTTCACGCCTCTATTCCCTCCTTTCTTCCTTCCTTCTTCCCTTCCCCCCTTCCTTCCTTCACGCCTCTATTCCCTCCTTTCTTCCTTTCTTCTTCCCTTCCCTCCTTCCTTGCCTCCTTCCTTTCTGCCTCTCTCCCTCTCTTCTTCCCTTCCTTCCAAATGCTTGTGTGCTCGAGGTCATGGCTCGAGGTCATGCTTTAGAAAGCTTGTATTAATTAAGGATAGTTGGTGAATAGTCRCTTCTCATACCGAGGAGAAAGAAGATTCTACCATCATTTCTGTAGATAGGCATATCTACATATCTATAGGCATATCATATGACGAAGGTTAAACGTGCTGACTTGAAACGGCTCCGCAGTTTTTATCTTATTGGGTCGTTAATCCTCACTTTTTTTACTGAAAGCCAACGCAAGATAACACATGAAACTCAAGTCTTCAGACAAAATGATATTCTGGTACCGAATCCATACTTTCAAGAGTATAAAC